GCGTGTGTGTGTGTGTGTGTGTGTGTGTGTGTGTGTGTGTGTTTGGCAGCTATCAGATTCTGCAGCCCAGGAAGCTGAATAACAAGGATCAGATGAATCTGTCAGCAGTTTAGCTGAATATATTTAATTGTTGTGTACTGCAGTATTTACACTGTGTGTACTGCAGTATTTACACTGTGTGTACTGCAGTATTTACACTGTGTGTGTGTGTGTGTGTGTGTGTGTGTGTGTGTGTGTGTGTTAGGCAGTAACGGTGGGCAGCCAGTCAGTTGTCTCTATATTTAGCCTGTTAGTGCTGGAGCCTTATTACCTAAGCTCTGCTGCAGCCGGATCTGTTGATTTATCTAATCTCCCTTCACTGCCCGACAGGGAGCTAAACGCTATCCACACTAGCATGCCCATCCGCAACGACACATCTGCATGTCAGCATAATTAAGAAACATCTCAACACCTTCCCCGTTTATAAACAAAACCCTAAGAAGCACGAGAAACAGATCATCTCATGGGGAGTTTAGACATCCTGTGGGGTGTGCAGTAATCTTTCTTTGTGAAGGTTTTAAGAAATAACGTGCTTACAGTACTCAAATCTGGCCTCAGTACTTTACTTCTTTTTAATTTTTAAATCTCCAAATACACATTTTGGTTTGGAGTTGRACTAGTCACCATAGCAACAGAGGCAGGATGGGCAGAGTCGGCTCCCAAAAACCATCTGCCACGAACACCGGCACAGCCACATCCACACACCGTGACACGCCTTACAGTTTGCAATATGTGTCCAGGCACGCTGTTATTCTCATCGCGTCGTTCGCATTCATTGCACTCTCAGCCGCTGATTTGAGGTTTTTCATTTCACACGCGAGCACACGCTCTTCTCGAAAGGCGACTGCTGGAGTTGAGCCAAATGCCCCGTGGCAAATTTAACCTTGGTACCTTCGGTTCAGCCACTCATCCTTTATGAACTTGAGCTACACTGGATCCATCTCTGAGCCCCCCCGGCCACGCTTTCAGTGCATTAAACATTATGAACTGTTACTTTTACGCACGTTTTGTGAGCAAGCACACCAGCGATTGTTGGCTGGTGAGGCGACGGCACAGCGKGAGTGTTTAAGCAAAAGAAAAAGTTGCACCTCATTAAATTTGAGAGCATCTCAGTGAAGACGTACCCACAATTCCTCCTTCAYGGGTTAAAAATATACTGTGTCTACACTACAAGAAATGAGAAGAAAAAAAGACGTCCTGTTATGCATTTAGAAATAAATGCACCAATAGTCTTTGTGGATAATTTAAAGCTGACACGTCTTGTTTCATCACAGGTGTTAATCTCTRGGACAGGTGACAGTTGTCTCCGTAGCATGATAGCTCAAACAGCGCATTTGCAGACAACTTACACCAAGAATGGTCAACCGGCGGCTTGCAAGTCACTATTATTATTATTTTTTCTGAAAACGCACTCAAAGCAAAAGTGTTTTTTGAAGTTTAAAAATCTAAAAATATATATTTTTTGGACACACCCTCCTTTTATTAGGCTTAGAGACACTGTCTGACATGAAGGATTTTAGTATTAGTTGCCCCTACAACATGTTGCACAAAGCTAAATATGAGAAGTTTACTGAAGTCCCAAGTACAACAGTGACTTTTTACCAGAACCAGGAGTCTGCGCTCAAGCTCGCTAAAGTAAGTGTTCATTTTATGTTTGCTTCAACGTTTTGTATTCATATCCATTAAACAATAGTACAACTGCTATACATTAATTTGAGCATGACATACACTCACCGGCCACTTTATTAGGTACACCACGCTGGTAACGGGTTGGACCCCCTTTTGCCTTCAGAACTGCCTCAATTC